TCATCAAAAATCCTACAATACAATTAGTAAATACTTCATGTTAACATATTTATAGAAAAACTATTTATGTTATTAGTATAAAAAAAAATGCTCATGTATATTCAAGCAAAACACCCATATAATCAAGAAATTCACCATCTTTACATAAACATCACAAACCCAACTCAAAATTCCCAATTTTTGAGACCCAATATATCAAACCAAGAGATTGTAGCTTAATATATAGAACTGAATTGTGATCTAACACAACCAAAAACAACCAAACAGTACCAAACTGAGAGCAATTAAATGAAGCCTTCAAAAATACTAAAGGTAGCCAATAATGAAAGCCTCATAACAACGAAACCAGAGCCCACACCTAATGTTTTTTCAAATCTAAATCTAACCGAAATTTTGCCTTAACAATTCATTTAACAAAAAATCCAAAAATACAACAAACTCATCAGTAGAATCGTGAACATATTAAATTACCTAGAAGAGAAAAAGATTAAATTTTTATTGTGTGTTTCAATCCTTTATTGTGTGTTTCAATCATTTAGTCTCATAAACATTCACTAATAAAAATGGTTATGAGCAGTTAGAGAATCAAGTAAACTCTTGAAAATCCAAACTTTCTCTATGTTAATTCAACCATAAACAAATTATTTAAACTTTTAACAGTTTGGATCTGCAAGTGAAGTAGTCCGGCAGCAAGGTAGGTGGCAGCACAAAGATAGAGTTTAGCAGTCTATAGTTCAACAACAACTCCAACAGATTGGATCGGCAGATGACTTCGAGTTTGATAGCAACAGTCTAGATGGATTTAGCAGCAACAGTGTAGCTTGGTAGTAGTCCACTCCAGCAGCAGTATGTAAACTGTGGTGGGGATCCCCATGGGACCCCGCGTAGGGATGACAGTTTGTTCCATAATCGTTGGAGCTCCACGAGGATCCCCGCCATGAGGGTGGAGATTCTTGAAATATTTTCCTCCATGGGGCGAGGATGGAGGTGATTTTTTCCCCACAAAATTTTCCCCACCCCATGGATCCCCGTGGGGATTCAAATATAATAAAAAAATTATAAATTTATATTTTTATAAATTAATAATTATAATAATATCATTTAAAAACCCAATTGTTAATTAGTAATTACCCAAACCCAACCCAACCCAACCCAAATATTTATCCCAAATTCCCAATTCTACCAAACACACAAACCCTAGCCACCACAAACCTTGACTCCCTCATCTCATCTTTCCTCTCAAACTCACTCACCTCTTCTTAAACCTCGGTTCCTCTAGCCTTCTCAAATCTCAACTCCTCTCAAGCTTACTCATCTCTTGTCTCATCTTAGATTCTCTCGATCTCTGTCTCCTCACCATTTTCCAGCCTCATAAGATTGGATTAGTTGCTAGATCTTTCTCAATCTCTTAGGCATTCGCTGTTGCTTCCCCTTCATGTTGTTGCTTCTCTTCTCTCATTCATCGGACTTGCTACTAGATTTGTCATTTTTCCCTACCAAATGATGTAATTTCTATTGTTCGTAGTTGAATCTTGAATTTTATGATTTGGGTTTTTTTTTCATTTCATAGTTTTTTGTTCTAGCATATATCAACTATGATAATAATGGGTTTCCTTAGAGGATGTTATTGATTTGAATAGCCAATTTGAGTTGAGTCGTAGAAAGAAAGAAACTAATGGAAGAATCATGGGGTTTATTTTGCTTGTGTTCACTGAAGTGGCCAATATGTTCATTGGAGTGGAACTTATTTACAAATTTGAACTTAATGTCTGGCTTTTTCATGTTTTTTATTCTAAATTTGAACTAAATGAAGTGATGGTAACCTTATTTTAGTGATTGTTGTCCTCTTCAGAATAAGGCATTTTTGTAGTTGATGGGGATTCCCCATACCCGTAAGGAGCCCTCATTTCCCGCAGAGATAGGGATGGAGGCCTTTTTTTTCCCTTCATCAAAATTCCCCGTGAAGATCCCCTCACCCACCATTGGGGGGGATAGGGATGGGGATGGGGATGGGGAGAGGGTCCTCGACCCCATAAGGATCAGTTGCCATCCCTAACCCTATGGGCATCGGGGCAAATTGTCACCCCTAAATTGTCCCATTAAGATGAGATGATTAGACATTGATTCAGTGATGACTAAGTAATGACTTGGATAAAAAAAATGTATCATGAAAATTTCTAAAGTGACAAGTCATTGTTTAGTCATTATCTAATCACTACCTAGTCATCCCATTTTAATGGAGCAATGGACAGTTTAACAAGCAAATGATGTCATCTTTACTAAAAGTGCTGATTTATAGATTTTGTGTAGTTGAGGGGCTCATGTACATTGGTCTATAATTGTAACCGTAGGTTTTTTAATCTTTTAATATTTCAAAAATATATAAAATATATTTATTTTAATTAACATTACATATATTTTAAAAAAATAAAAAAATAAAGTACCAAAAAGTACTGAACCCTATATCATGCTGTTGACAACCTTATGACATGTCTACCCCTCCACTTTGATTTTAGTGGTATGTCAGC